TTGCTTTTGTAATATCATGGCGGTCAAGTGGCCAACTCGTTGTATTAAACTTCCCTTGGTTCAGGATTATTACTCTTGTAGTCTTCTTGAATAACAAAAAATTGCAATTTTAATTCGAACAATTATGTGTCATGCATTCTTCCAACTCTTTTAAGAAGTTCAAAACAAATAGGTCGCAAAGATTTCGGTCTGGTTTCTTCCACAAATTCCTCGATCTTATTCATGTAGTCATTGTTGAAATTTAACGCAATTTTGAATAATATGGTGTTCATTGACCATTGGCTTTTGATGGTCCTGCTTCCTCAGTCTCCAGCTTAAGGTTTGCTCCGCTTATGATTCTGCTTGGGACAAATGCTCTATCGCGACAAGCTCGGTTAGACCACAATCAGTTGATAGGTGTTGCAGCAATCTCGTTCACATCCTTCCTGGCAGGTAAACATACCTTTAAACAATCTTTACAACAAAGTATGCTGCGTATACTGACATACGACGGCTATCCAGTTGCAACCCTATATAAATGCGAAACAAAATATTCGAATTTGTTTTAGTGAACTTTGAAATCTCACTAGACCAATACTCGCTATTCTACGGACTTCTTGCTGCTCTTCTTCAGACCGCAGCTTATATGCAGTTCGAATCCCTCTCCCATACTTATCAGGTACAGCACTCTAAAATTCGAGACAGTTCTTGAATAAATAACTCACAATGATATCATAAAGTCTGTTTATTTAGGCAGCAGAGATGCTTTACATGCATTCATTCAACTCATTGATAATATTTCTTATAGCGGATATTGTGCAGGTGAGTTCGAAAACTACGTTCCATGAAAACCCAGTCGTCGAAAGAATCTGCGGGGAGACAAAAAGTAGGGACCCAACGTTACTCTGAAATGATCAACGAATAGCTTTTACACACAATCAACCCTAAGCTGGAACCACTCACTTTTTCAAGCTAAAAAGATAGCATGAACCTTTAGTGCAGATCATTTCAATAATACATCCATGTACTTGGACAGAATCAAGTGTGAGGGGGAGTGGTAACTGCTTTAGGTAGTGTTAATTCGCGATTAACGTCTATACGAGTAATTAACTTTAAAAATTATACTCCTGTGCAGTGGTTACCCTCCTTATCTCCTGT